GGGCTTAATTTGGGTGTGGCAAATGGGGTGGGGCTTAAAGGGAATGAGAGTGTTAATGAGGAATTTTAATTAATTGAATAATTATTGGAGTATAGGGGGTTAATACAGGGTTTCAATAAGTGGAATAATTAATTAATGGATTAATTAATGAATAAAACGAACGGGATCAACGAGGGTGTTACTAAAATGTTTATTAGCTAAATAATGGTGTTAATTAGCGACTAATTAACGTCCAGGCTCGTTAACGAGGCGCTGAAGGAGGAGCTCAGCCGCATCCACGCCCTGGAGCAGCGAACCCTGACCCCGGAACAGTGGGAGGAGGAGCGCGGCTCATTAGCATAAATTTGCATACCGAATTCTCCCATCTCCGCTTCATCTTCATGGATTTGCATAAATTAGCACAGCCCGGCTCGGCTCTGATTGGTTGAAGCCACGCCACGTTTAGGGCCTTAAATGGAGATGGAAGGGGGCGGTGCTGAAGCTCATTTGCATTAATTTGCATAAAGGCAATAAACATTCCTCATTTGCATAACGTGTTTGTGTCATCATTGAGTGAGAGCGGCTTTGATTTTGAGTTGATTTGCATAAATTTGTATGCATACAAAAAAAATTTCTCATTTGCATATGGGGTGACATCATCCATTGGTAATGCGTAGCTTTAATTTTGGGTTCATTTGCATAAAATAAATATTTCTCATTTGCATATTGTGAGTACATCATCTTTAGATGAGGTCGGCTTTGGGGTTGGATTGATTTGCATTAATTTACATAAAAGCAATAAATATTCCTCATCTGCATAGAATGTTGATGTCAGCCTTGGGTAAAAGCTGCTTTGATATGTAGCCAATTTGCATAAATTTGCATAACCGCAACAAAATTTACTCAATTGTATATTGTGCTGATGTAAGGACAGCTTTTAGGTGGCGTTGATTTGCATAAATTTGCATAATTTAGGTATTTTTGGAGGCAGCGCCTATTTAAACCCGGACATTTTCTCCGTTCCCGCATTGCATTGTGGGTAACGAGGCGGAAGTCACCTCTATCAGCGCAGTGCATTGTGGGTACCGAGGCACTTCCTCTAAAACCAGGAAAATTCTTTGTCTTCGCGATGCATGGTGGGTAACGAGGCGGAAGCAGCCTTTATAACCGCAATGCATTGTTGGTACCGAGGCGGAAGTTTACTCCAGGTTTGGCTCCCAGTGCTCCCAGTTTGGGGCTCCCAGTTTGGGCTCCCAGTTTGGGCTCCCAGTCTGGGCCCCCAGTGCTCCCAGTTTTAGCCCCGTCCCAATTAAACGCGGCAATTCCTCACGCGGTGCATTGTGGGTAACGAGGCGGAAGCAACCCCCCTTATTCCCGCACTACATTGTGGGTACCGAGGCAAACCAGCACTTCTTTGTCTCGCGGTGCATTGTGGGTACCGAGGCGAAAGCAACCCCCATGTTTCTGCAGTGCATTGTGGGTACCGTGGCAAACCAACACTTCTTGGTTCCGCGGTGCATTGTTTGTACCGAGGCGGAACAACCCCCGTGTTTCCGCAGTGCATTGTGGGTACCGAGGCACTCCTTATCTCCACACCTGAGACAGGTGCGCGGCCC